CGAGACTCCATCTCAAAAAAAAAAAAAAAAAAAAAAATATAAAGCCTTTCCACAGAGGTTATGCAGATGTACACCAATTACACCCAGTTTTATTAGTAGAATGTGTATGTGAGGAGATACACAGAGAAATTTTTATTGTTTGTCATTAGATAATGATTATGAGTCGAGACTCAGAAGTCAGAGTACCTGGATTTAAGTCCTGAATCCATCACCTGCCAGCTCTGTAAACCCAGCCAAGTTACTCAGCCCCTCTATACCTCAGACTCCTTATCTGTAAAATAGGCATAGTAACAGTGTCTATCTCACAGGTTTGTTGTGAGAGGGAAAGGAGAGAGTGTGTGCATATCATATAGTAGTTAAGAGAGTGGGCTCTAGAGCCAGAATTCCAGGGTTCAAAACTCAGCCAGTTCAAAAGCAGTTCAAAACTGCTTCTCAGCTGAGCAAGTTACTTGCCTTTCTTTCCTCATTCAAAAAGTGGGAACAGTAATACACCCCCTTTGTAGAATTGTTTTGTGTGTTGACAAAGTGCTTGGATGTGACTAGCATACAGTAAACACTCAATAAATACTGCTAGCATGATTAACAGAACAACAGAACATGATATGCATAAATGTATGTTAGCAGCTATTATGTATGATCGTTGTTATTGTTATTATTATAGTTATTACCCTGAGTCCTGGTGAGACCACTCACTGGCAATTTAAGCACACTCTGTATACAACCCAAACTGTAGACTTTGGAATAGATACGAAACAGCATCTCCCTGAACAAATTCCATTCCCTGGGTGTCACAGGCCCACTTGTCACCACGGGACCATATCTCATCGCAAAGCACTGAAGGGTGGGGAAGCCAACACAATGCCTGGGGATGGGCAACTGGGCCCTCAAAGCAAACTGGCACACAGCTCAACCCTCCATTCAGAAGCAGTCACCTTCTTTCCCATCAGCTTGGATCTCAGAGTTTCCTTTGCCCTTTCAAGAGTGGCAAACCTCAGTGCAAGTGACAAGCTATTGTGAGACACATAGAAACACTTACTGGCATCAAGACGGCGGAAGATCCTGGCATTGTGGGGTTGGGCAGGGTCCCAGGCATGGAGGCTGGCATGGGCTGTCTCTGTCTGTTGTGGAGATGTAGCAGAGAAGATAGAGAGCCTGGGACAGGCCTGGGACAAAGAAAAAAAACAAACATGATTCCTGGTGCCCTGGGCCTGTTTCCCCAGTGTCCAGAACAGCGGGGACAACAATGTCACATGTGCAGCAGATCAGATCCACTGATGGGAGAGTCACATAATTGAGGATATTAGGGAAATAATAACAAATAAAACACAAGCCTGGCTTCCTTTGCTGCTTCCTAGTTAATATATCAAATTCCACTTCATTTCCTGACCTCTGTTATCTAACTGATGTTCAATAGGAACAAGCTAATAAGTCTCCTAAACTCTCGCATCTTAGGGAAAGAACTTGGTGGTGAAATTCTTTGTTTACTCAGAAATCTCAGCCCTCTGAAGTGTCTTAGAGCCTGAGATCTGCGTACATTTATTTTAGCCACACTCTCCCACACCTCTGCCTGGAAGCCTGCCTGCCTTTGCTCTGGAAACACTTTCGCTCTCTGGATTTGCAGAGCAAACTTCATTCATGAATTCCCCACAGAAATCTGTTTTGACTCTTTCATCGTTCTCCACCGTGAATGGAAAAAAACAAACCAAAGAAGCTGGATCCCGGGGCGGCAGCACAGCTGGCCTTACTCAGAGCGAGTCCGGAGCCTAGCCTCCAATTACCAGCCTCTCATTTCATAATAACGTGAGGTGTTAGGCTGTTTCACAGAAACTGATTTGGGCCTGACCTACAAGACTTGGGTAAGCACTCCTCGGGGGAGTATTGTACATAGTTTGAGCTTTTGCTTCAATTTGCCAGAAAAAAAATTTTAAGGGCCTTAAATTGATTTAATGAGCCAGAGAATGTGGAGCTGAGGGAAAAAGGGAATTATTTGTGTTTATTAAAAATGGCAAACAAGTGACCTCTCCACATAAATTCTCAATCTCCTCACGCTTTTGCTCTAGGGAGCTGTATAAATGTCAAATCATTAAATTAAAGACCTAACAACAAACAAACAAAACAAAACAAACAAACAAAAACCTCCCAGGGCCTCTGAGTCTTCCATGTTAACCAACCTTATCCCGAAAGTTATGCTAGAAACTAGTGCTTCCAGAATGAATGCATTCTGTTAAGAGAGAGAGAACAACACACACACATACACACACACACACACACACACACACACGGGGAGAGAGAGAGAGAGAGAGAGAGAGAGAGAGAGAGAGAGAGGCTCCCTCGTGCTAAGTGCTGGGCAAAGGTTGCAGACAGAGATGCTCTGGGTAGGACAATGCTTTCCTGTGCTTCTGAAGACAGCCCTGTCTAGTACCCTCAACCAGAGTAGGAGAAGGAGCTGCTTCCCCGGAGTTCCTTTGACTCCCATGAAAAGTGGAAGATAGAGGTGGGGGAGAGAATGCCAACATATTCTTCCTTCACATGCCTATTACAATTTCAAAGGAGATAAAGTTTTCCACTCTCTTTGCCCAAGAGCTCTTTTGGAAATAGAGCTAACCACCAGAGTCACACATCATAGAAGGATTAGTCATTAATCAGTCAAGATTTATGATCAGTTTAGAAAGGTGTATATATGAAAATATAAAAGAATATAAAGAGTTCGAGACCAGCCTGGCCAACATCATGAAACACCATCTCTACTAAAAACACAAAAATTAGCTGGGCGTGGTGGCACATGTCTGTAATCTCAGCTACTTGAGAGGCTGAGGCTGGAGAATTGAGCTGAGAATCCACCACTGCACTCCAGCCTGGGCCACAAGGCGAGACTCCATCTCAAAAAAAAAAAAAAAAAAAAAGAATATAAAGCCTTTCCACAGAGGTTATGCAGATGTACACCAATTACACCCAGTTTTATTAGTAGAATGTGTATGTGAGGAGATACACAGAGAAGCTAATGGAAGCAGCTTGTAACAATGATGAGTGCTTTTGGATAAGCAGATGAAGTGCTATGGGTATTTTTTGACATGTACTCTTGGACCTCTGGAGTATAGATTGACAATAACGACTAAGAGGGCCTTTGAAGGTTCTTTGGCTTTTACAGATCTAGAAGACTGCTGGTTTCAATTGCTCCAAAATACCATGGCAGGTTGTGCCTTCACTAGGTCTTAAAGTCTCCTTCAGAGATGGATAGACCGAGTCAGTTCGGTATAGGATGTGGTTTAGTCAACCAAATTTGTTGATATCCTCCAGTCTTAATGTTTTGTCTGGAAAATTTACTGAATAGAAAATAGTAGAATATCAAAGTATATAATGTTTAATAATGGTCAGTTCTTCTAAATCCAAGATAAATAATCCAAACTTCCTACCTCCATAATGAGAAAGATTCATTGAGAGGACCCCAACATACAACTAATCATCCATCTATATATCCATCTCAATAGATGTACACAATACATCTATACACACATACAGCCTTTTACCATATGTTTGTATTCCTAGTCACCAGAGGGGAATGTTTTGAGTATAGAGAGTTAGGAACAAGTAAAAATATTATAGCAAAGACAGCTAAAAACTTTTTTTTATTATGTTGGTTTACAATATCATGCTCATGGGACAACGGGCAACATACTATCATCATTTACATTCTGTCTCCAGTGGGACATACGAAAAATAATAGTGTTCATTAGGATTTTTTTGAGGCGTTCTTTTTCAAAAAGAAATCAGGGGATCTCTCTGAACCTATTCTGGTTCAGGGGATTGCCCATTTAAAAAAATAAAAATTAAAAAAATTAGAGAAAAAAATTAATTAAACAACTTAATGGTTATGCAAATGGGGATGCAAAAGTAATTACATTTAAAATGAGTTTTTATTCTTCCTGAAACCATGGAAAACTCTCAGTTATATAAATAGTTTGGGAATGGTATGTTTCATTTAATTCAGTGTTCTTATTAGGTAAGTTATTTCTACACTTTGTAGAGATCTACCAGATTTTAAAATATCAAGTACTTCCTCATTAAGATAGCCTTTCAGGGTACTAGATTCTCTTGGGATTATAATAATAATTTCCTAATGATACTGATCAGGCTAATTAGTGATGTATAGAAGGGAAAGGATTATTTGCGACCTCTGTATGTTTGGATTCTGAATAATTTTGAGCTTAGAGTGTTCTACACAGATTCCATAAATTATTTCCCCACCCCCCACCTACCAAACCAACAGAATTTTCTCTCCATTTCTTGCTTGAATTTTTAAAACTACAAAACCTGAAAAAAGTAAATAAAATGACCTGTGCCTACCCGTCACTAGGTATATAAAGGACTAGACTGAGGCATGTAGCTACGTAGCTAGGTCCAAGAAACAATCATTTGTCCAGAATGCTCATATCGTTAAAGTAAGCATGGCACTGGAATAATTGCATTGTCTAATTCCCTTTGTGTATATTGAAATTAGGATTATTATTTAATACATTATACTTGCATAAAACTTTTTCTATTGCACTTAAATAACGTTTCTTATTTTTTAAGGTATTTTATTGTCCCTCACTTCATGTGCCCTGAAACAATGCAGTGAGGTAGTTAGGTCATATTCTTCCCATTTAAGTCAGGAGTATGCTGAATTCAGAGACATTTAAATTTTCCCAAGGTCACATGGGTCATGAACAGGAATGGGGCTTATACTCAACTTGCAGTATAGGGCTTCCCCCATCACACCCGGATGGCTCCCATAACTATGTTATTATTGATTTTTTATGCTAAAAAATTCACAGTTCATTTCCTTTGATATTCACACTGCTCCCTGGACTTTCTATAAAGTAGTAAAATCCTGTAATACTGCTAACGTGAGAATTCACTCATCCACATGAAATTACATTTTCTTCCTTTAAAACAAAACAAAACAAAACTTCCCAAACAACACATCAGTTAGACTCTGAAAATAATATGGCAAATTGCAGTAAAGTTGTGAAAACAAAGACCCAACAGTCCTTCTCCAGTGCAGGCTTGTTGCCATGAGCTAATAATTCCAGACTTTGTGCAGGCCAAGCCTCCCTTTTAATAACCATATGCCTCTAGGTAAAGTATTCCTACTAAAAATTATTGAGGCATGGAACAAGGTAAGATGTGTGAGCTCATGTTGGATTGTTCAATTACTAAACTGAGTCCTGCAGCATTAAGAGTTTTCCAACTTGACAGATTATTCCTCTTTCTACACTTGTATAAACATACTGCTTACGGTTGAAATCTATGTAAGCTTTTCTTTCAATTAAAATGTCAAGGATGACAGACTGTGTTTTCACTGTCCTTAGCAGAATGATAGGCACCGCAGCGAGAGATTTCATGTCCTCATTTTCCCCCCGAAAGGATGTTTTCCTGTCTAGGGGTGTCTGAAAAGTCAGAACTGTGTCTACAGGTCTTCTTTGCCCTGGGGTAAGCCTATCCTCAGGCCAGTGCTTTGGTCTGGAAGGTGCGCAGGGGTTTCTCCACCCTGCTCTCCTTTCTCAGGTCTTCAGAAGATCTGTGGCACACTAGGACTATCTGTTACACTCTCAGGACAGACAGATCTGCCACATATGTGGCCAGGCAAAGGAAAGAGGGTCCATAATGAAAAGAAAGTAGGTTAGAAGATGGGAAGATATTGATCTTCCCATTTTCTTTTAATGAGCATCAAAAGTAGACCATAGGCTGGGTGCAGCAGCTCATGCCTGTAATCCAGAACTTTGGGAGGCAGAGCTGGGTGGACCACTTGAGCCCAGGAGTTCGAGACCAGCGTAGGTAACATGGAAAAACTCTGTCTCTATAAAAGGAAAAATATACAGAAACTAGCCAGGCATGGTGGTGCTTGGAGGCTGAGGTAAGAGGATCACTTGAGCGCAGGAGGTAGAGGTGGCAGTGAGCCGAGATCACACCATTGCACTCCAATCTGGGAACCTGGGCATCACAGTGAGACTCTACCTCCAAAAAAAAAAAAAAAAAAAAAAAAAAAAAAAAAAAGCAGACCATAGAGATGGAAGAAATCTTGAAAAAAAAATTTAATAATAACATAAGGACTTGGTGGAGAATAGAATTAAAAAGCAAAAAGCTTCAGGGAGCAGGAGGATATCCAGATGTCATTGTTATT